CCTTCAGCCACCATCTGTGTGTGGTGGACGAGGGGCTGGGGCCTGTGCTCATACGGCCGCGTGCGCTCGTATGGGCACGTGTGCTTGTACTGCCATGTGTGCTCATACGGCCACATGTGCGCATATGGCCACGTGTGCTCGTCATGCCAAGCTAGGCAAAGCCACAGCCCCTGAGCGTGTCAGTGGTACCCGCATTGGCTGCTTTCGGGACTCACTGCTCAATCTTGGCAATGATCATCGCTCTGCAGCAATTTGCAGACTGCTTTCTCCCCCAGGCACCTCACGGGCATCCACACGGCCCAGGGCAGCCATTACTGGATAGCCACGCTATTTGCTTGGCTTTTCCTCAAGGCTTTTCACTGCGGTGCCTTCCTCATTCGTGAGGCTTCATCCACCACCAGTGGCCATATGTAGCCAGCCCCGTGGCTCCCTGAAATGCCTTCCTGGTGTACCTACAAAAAAATGAACACTTTCTTAGACCACTGCTGCAATGCTGCCATTTCCTCTCTTTGTTTCTCCCATGTGTTTGCACCCGTTTTTCTTGCACTCCAAGCTCTCTGGGAACAGAAACAGCTTTTGTGCACAGGGATAACACTTAGCTCACAGATAGAAATTCTAGGCACTACTGCAATGTGGATAATTAGTAATTGCAAGTGGCTATGTCAGTTACAGACTATAACTAACAGCTGGAACTTCTGCCATTTTTGAATGGGAAAATCTTAAAAACACTCACAAACCTGACCTCCAACACTTCTCTGTGGTAAATATTATCATATGTGCCTGGACCGTCAGCTTAAATAATAGCACCTGAAAAAAATTAATTAGCCTGTCAGGGCTTTCATAACTCAGAGCTCCTCTTTATCTTCTTGTGGCTGCAATGTTAATTCTGCTTTGCTTTTCTCCTCTCTGTTTTACAAGGTGCATCAGTGCACACTGCCAGTAATAAACAACCGGTTCAATTGTGAGCTAACTAAACCATTCAAGTGCTGTAAATCTATTAACGAGCTGGTCATTAAATGAATCGCTGACCTATTTCTGAGCAAGCCTAGCTAAGAAACTAGAACTGATGACCTATAAAAGCAGCAATGTGTTAAGGAAAATTATTAGTTGCAAAAGGAGAGCACCAATTACTTGCTTCAGCAGCTCTCACCATCCAAAGACAAGATTCTCTATTGCCAGCTTCAGATAATTCACTGGAAGTCAAACTCTGGCACCCACTGCTGTGTAAGGAAAATGCCATGAAGCTGATACACAGAGAGTAATATGTGTAGATCTCTTCTAAATCACTTTATTACTGAAAACTTCTATGCAGGTGTTTACAACAGGTCAAACTGGGAATGGTCCAGAGTCAGATCTAGGATGCAGGCTCTCCCTGCCTCAGAGGGATGAGTTTTAGATCTAGTACTTATTTTTGCGGCAGAACAAGCCAAACCTGTGGGGCCAAACTTTCCCTAAATTGGGGGCAGGTCTGGTTCCAAGTTTTGAGCCCTGCCTTAGCCTACCCTTGTATAAAAATGAGGTTGCAAATACTTTTTCAAAAGTTCCATCTCCCTCTATACAGCATATATGAGGCCATGAATACATGCAGCCCTGCGGTCATCCCAGTGTGTTATTGAGTAAAGCAAAGCAGTCGTGGGTGCAGAGGAAGTGGTAGCACAGGGAAGTGGTGTAGCCAGGGTACCGCAGCCCTAGCTGGTTTCTAAGCACTTTCCAACTCAAGTAAGTGCTCCGAGAAAAAAAATGATGATTTTCTTCTGCCTCTTTCCTAGCTAAAAACAGTCCCAACTACTCAGGTAGAGGCTGCCAAGTGAACCAGTCATTCTGGCACTGGCTGGAGATAGTCCAGCTTTGGGAACTGCTCCTTTTTAGGGGTCAGAAATGGGTGCTGTGTCCTCCCATGCTGGTGGGGGAGTTAGAGCTTGAAAACCAGGGACAATATTGAAATCTGCCCACTCTAACCCCTCTGAAGGCAACCTGAATTAAAACACATTGACCTTTTTTTTGTATCAGATTCCTGCCTAGATATTTATATGATAATCATCCACAGGACCCTGAATTTAGATTATAGTATTAAATTCATAAGTAAGAAAAAAAAAGGGGGGGGTCCAGAAGAATAGAGAAGACTAGCAACACCCTCACCAAAAGCACATAGGTGTTGCAGCTGAATTAGTGCTTGAAGAGCAACTTTTTTTTTTTTCTTTTGCAATCATCGCTTGCTTGACAGGCCCAGACCATATTACATCACTTCCTAAAAGCAATCAAACAGAGTCCATCTCCTGAAGAAATTTAACTCAGATGCACTCAGGCAGGAAACAGGAAATGTAAATGTTCTCGTGAACCAGGGAGAAAGTAAAAGAGAACATCCAGCCTGATCACTGAAGGGGTAACATGCAAAGCCCAAGCCTCATCACGGTGCTTTCTGTCCTCTTCCTCACTGAAGGATCTGCCGACAATAGTAAGTAATACAGCGCTTTTTACCTTCCAAGGTAGGACTGCGAGACGCGTTTTGTGCCTGCAGCTATAGCACTGAGTCGGAGGCAACACCCTAAAAACTGATCTCTAGGAGAGGATTTGTGAAAACTTGCATTCGGCTTCTTTTAGCTTTATTCACCGTCTCTGCTTTCAGCTCTTTGACTTTTTTCCTTAGTCATAATCTGGAACGGCAGCAATTGAAACCTAAAATTCATAAATTGCAAGTGTATAGGCATCCGGAGTTTCTCCTCAGAAGTCTTTGTTGCAGTTTTAATAATTTGCTGCTTTTTGTCGTATTTTTTAATCCCGTGGCTGTACGACCATCATTTAATAGCAAAGTTAAAGAACAAGCACTCTTCCCATACAAGCGCCAGCTGAGTACTTTAGTGGCTGCAATGAACTGGAACCCATTTAACAAAAGAACAGCCAGTTCTGGAGACAAATGTTTTGAATCCTAGGCTGCAGAACAAAGTATTTGGCACTGTGGATTTGGACACATTTTGAAGGGAAGAACTGCAAGCAGAAAAGCCACGTGCAGCGAAACGCTGGCGAGCCTGTGTGCTGTGGCGCGGGCTCTCATCCGCGTTGTGCCACACGCATTTCCGAGCAGCCCGTAGGTCCAGCAGCCGGGCAGCACAGGCAGCTGCGCGCACGAAGCCCTGCAGAGGCAGCACCTCTGAGCCCACTGGCGCCAGGCATAGGGCTCCTGCCGTTCCTCTGTGTGCACCAGAAGGGTTCGTATAGCGAGCGAGAGCTCCACGACGCTGACAGAAAGGACTGTCACTCTCACCTATCGCTAGATTTCTCCTATCAAGATTTTAAAAAAGTATTGGGTGTTTTTTTTTTTTCCCTTAAAACCAGAACTATAACAAGTCTGTAAAACAGGGCTGCAGGCTCCAGGCACGCTGCAGACCTTATCACTGACTGGAATCTTGCTTAGCTGTAAGAATGACCTAAGCAAGTTATAAAATGGTTCAGTCTTGTCTGCATAAATACCAATCCTACTGCGTTACAAGTATGGTAGGAAAATATGTTCTGAGCTTTGGACATGCCTTAAAATCACACTAATAGGAGGAAAAAGTCCCATTATAAACTGAGACACAATCTGTCCTAGAAATAGCAAGAATTGTTCCAGAGAAATGGATAGGCAAGACGTAAGAAATGGGGTTTACTTAGGTTGTAACTTTCTTAATGCACCTGGGAGCTGACGGGAATCACTCGCGCAGTGCTGACACCAGGACTTCTGTCACCGTTTCAGTGTGCCGGAGGGGCCTGAGTCCCTGACTCTGTGGCCCCATTCCCCGGCTGCTGCAGCACCTGCCTGCCCTTCTCTGTGGTGGGCATTGCAGGGCTGCTCATAGCAGCAACGTGATTTCACACAGCACCTGCCCCAACCAATTTCCCGCTGGCTCCAGAGGCTTCTTACTGGTAGATCCACCTCTAAATTGTAGTTGATTTAGGAACTCTTCCTCCATGCAAGGGAGCAAGTCCCAGCAGATTGCAAGAGGAATCGCACAGGCCCAAATGCGCTTCCGGTGCCGAACGCAGCCAGGGCTTGCTCTGACTGCGAGGCGGGAAGGGGGCATTGCTGCCTCGCGCCTAGGGGGGAATGACATTGCAGGGGTATCTGTCTATGTAGGGGATCGTATTCCCTGCAGCCACCAGGTCAGTGATGTATGAGCCTGTGCAGTTTGGGCAGCCTCCTGGGGGATCCTTCTCTCTCACAACCTTTAACACGGCGGATCCTTTAAAGAAGCTTTTTTCCCTTTTGCTCCTGTCCCAAGCCCAGTCTGAGGCATTTTCCAGGGCCCTTGGCCCTCCTTGAAGCACATGGGAAACTGCAGTGTTTCTCATGCATGGAGCTACGCGGCAACAAAATGCTTGAAAAAGAGAAACAGCAATACGTGCAAGATCTCTAAATGGAAGAGCTGGGATCATTGCAGGTAGTGATTTATTTTTGCCGTCTCTCTGTGTTATTGCTTTGCATTATCATTCAAAGAAACACCCCTATCAAAGATCCAGGTTTTCAGCAGTCTGGTACATGAGTACTTGTAGAAACCCTCTAATCTGCAGAGAAGTACATTTTCGGGAAAATCTCATACGAAGCCAAGGCCTCTAAGGACCCCTTTGACCTGTTTCCCCCCTAGAGTAATGAACTCCAAAATTGGTTTGAACTCCTCAGAATTGTCTGTTGCAGTTTTCTAGCAAAGCAGTAAAATCAAAAATGCAGATATGCTACATCCACTCTTCAGTGCCCCTAAAAAGCAGATTAAAATAATATTTCAGATCAATTCTTTGTATGGATTCCTCCCTATTTCTTCATTTTATCCATACACACAAACTTTTACTGCATTTTATTCCTGTGCTCTCAGGGCCATCTCAGGAAATCTGTCCCTTACATCAGCAAGACCGTATGCCCAAAGCCAGTCATTGAACACAGTCTGTTGTCCCTTGAGAGATTTAATGGTTGCTGGAGAGCCTCCAGAGCCTTGAAATCTTTAATTTCAGCATCCTCTGGGGAGCAAGGAGCACTGGAGATTTGCATCCCACTTTTTTGAATGCAGCAGTTCTGACGGGTATCACTGAGGCACAGCTGGAAGGCCACAAGATTAAACAGATGTAACTACCTGGTTAATTCGGTTTTCAAAACCTTACTCATAGGGGTGATAAACGAAACTAAAGGCCCACAGTTCGACTCTAAGATGTGTGACTCAATTTTCAACACCCGCAACACTGGCAGTTAAGTGTGACTCAATTTCAACACCCGCAACACTGGCAGTTAAAAGAGCACTTAGGCTGAAAGGCAGAATAATAAGAAACAGCTTTTTGTATTGTCTGGAAATAAACTTAAATATTTACTTCCTGTTTCAGGTTATAGCTAGATGACACTTTCTAAGCACCCATTTTAATTGGATCTTGCCTACAGATTAACTATGCTGAAATGTTAGCTTTACTTCAGCAGATGGGCTGACAGGTATCCTGCAGGGTTTCAAGGATTCCTCATCCAGCCAGGTGGATATTTGGGACCTGCCGTGACATGCAGCCTGGGCATGCCCTGACCACGGCAAGAAAAGGCACTTCTTAGATAAACAGTAAATGCGGGGAGGGAAACAGAACAGGAATGAGTCAAGGGATAGGAGCAATAACCATCCAGGCAAAGCACCAGGAGGAATGCTTATTTGGAAAAGAACAGTGCAGAATATAGTAACTTTACACCGATATGCACAGTATTATAACTCTATGTGCCTTGTTTCCCTCTCCTGAGCCTTCCTTTTACTGTATTTTTATAGCTTAGAGGAAAGTTTGAAGAAAGAAAAAAAATCCCTTTCAAAGTAACCATTCAGACTATTCCTTTGATTTAGATCTTGCTTTTCCTCTACTCTGTCCCCCGCCTCTTTTTTTTTTCAGGAGGCAGGAACTACAGTGTAACAGGAAACATCCCCTTGGGAGACTCCAATCCAAGCACTTGGTGAGAACATAGCAGGCTGACTGATGATTTAACAGCAGAACTGAATGTGCTGACTGCAGCTATTTTTCCTTGCCCCTCATCCAACTAGAATCAGAAACCTGTTTGCCTACTTAGTCCATCAAGAAACTCATATCAGTGTCTCTTAGTGCTACAACACAGACATCAGAGAAGCAAGTGCAGCAGCAACATAAATGTTGTTTGCATCTGCTTGCTCAGAGTCTAGTCTGCAGAGCTGCTCAGTAGCTTAACTCCCTCTGCCTCCCTTGAAAGGCAGGCTTGGAAGCACCTCTAAAATGCAGACAACTTCCATTAGTAATTAGAGCGTGTTTTATAATCAGACAATACCAAATGGTATCCCATGGTGATGTACAGTGTTGTACCTTTATGGTAACAGCCTTTTCATAAGACCCCGAGTGGAACCTCCGTTGAGCGGCCGCGAGTGCTTTCTCAGTGGTGAAATGGTCGAGTTTTGATCCCATGAGGACTAAATCAGTGGTGGAAACTTGGGAGCTTCTTAGTTTCCAGCATGCATTAGGTTGTACCCAAACGTCCATTAGGATGAGCCCAGCCAGGCAGCAGTTCCTCCCTTCCTCCTTCTGCTTGGAGGGGAGGGAAGGAAAGCGGCAGTGTGAGTTGGGTGGAAGCTGTGGCGGGTGCCCATTGGCTCCCTGCAGTGCAAGTGCCAAGTCTCCAGCATCATAGTTTAGACAAAATATTGGTCATGGTTATTGTAAGATTTGACTCCCTCCTTGTTTCACTCCATTAGCCTTGATTTTCCATCCCAAACAAATGTTATGTTATGGTCTGATTCCATTTTGAAGGGAGCTAATTAGATATTTGCAAAATGAAGCCCAATTGCAGATGACTCCAGCAAATCTGCCTCTGGGCATGGAGAAAATCCTTGAACAATATCCCACAAAGGCTCTGCCTTTCAGGTGCTCCCCTGCCAAGCTCCAAGTCTTGCAACACTCAGCTTTCATGTCACATCCCCGTGCCCACCTCTGCTGCTGGGGCCAGACATGGAAGTTTGTCCTGGGTGCAGCCCGTGAAGCCCACTCAGGCACAGCCCATCGTTTTATCACTATGCAAAGCTTCAATCTGTAAGCAATAGAGGGGAGATAGAAGAGCCCCTGTCCTGTATTAATAAGCAGGTAGGGTGCTCATCACCAGAGACCTGAGTCTGAGATTGAGCTCTGGTCCTCAGAGGCTAAACACAAGATTTAAGAGCAATATCCTTACTAGTGCATTGTGCAATTGGCTGCCCTTTTGTTGAGAGACTATTTAATCTACTGAAAGAAAAGATCCTTTTAAACAAAATTGTGTTCAGATAAAAGATGCTGCTTTGTCCCTGGAACTACGCAAAGTGGACAAAAATATGTGGTAACAAGGTCACTCTCTGTGCTTTGCCATTTTTTTTTGTCTATCGGGTAGAAAGGGTAATTCTCTTTCACACAGAGACAAATGATTTGAAATCTGCTTTGTAGCTCAAAACAGGCATATAAAAAGTAACAGAGACATTGAAAAAGGCTGTCTTGGAAATCAAGTACAGCAAAAATTCCAACTACAAGTTTAGTGCTGTAGTTAATGAGATGTGACTGTTGCTTTTGCTTTAAAGTCACATCACGTTTTAAACATTTGAAAAATTCATTTTAACTCTGATAGTAGCTGGAAAATAAGCTCTTTCCTCCACACCCTTTCCCACTTGCACTGTTTTTAACAATGGGCTTGTCCTTATCCATATATCAAATGCGTCAGGCGACAGGTTAGAAGAGGAACATGAAGCAAGGTCGTAAGGATCGTTGTGCGACACGGAGATGGTTCGTCTGCTCTGCCAGCAGTGTGGTTAATCATGCAGGGATCTGATGTGTGGCCTTGCTGCTTCATGAAACAACAATAATACATAAGGTTACTGTTACTGCAAACTCTGGGGGCTATGAACTATTTCTGGAAAGGGAAGTCAAGGGCCAAAAATAATAATGGAGAGATCTCCCTCCATTCCTTCTGGATAGGATAAAGGAGAGCCACCATATCATGGGCATGGGTGGAAAAGCAAACACACAAATGCAAGGGGTCATGGTGTGCACAGGAGAGTGAGATCTTGCTTTGCTCTTCACTGAAGTACCGAACAGAGAAGCAAGTGACATTAAGGCACTTGGCGTAAATTGCTTTACTACTGGAGAACTAACACTGTGATTATTGTATTGCAGAGATCGGTGATCTTTGCAATATTGAAATACTTTAATAAAGTACCAGGCATTATTTATTAAGCATTATTTTTTTTCTTTGTTTCAAAGACAGACTGAAGTGATCAGTATGGGGCATAAAAATCTAGACAAATCACTGCTGCCACACTCAGGTCATTTTTTTCATTTGAATTGGGTTTTCTGGAAAACAGTCTCATGAGATACTCATCTTCTTTTCAAGAAAAATCTGACAGGAGAAGAGATGCTGCAGAGCGGATTAAGCATGAGATAGCGCTCTAATCACAGCTTTCCTCTCTCGCTTGGTGTCCTGCGAAGGGCAGCTTGCTGTCCTCCTGATTTCTCATTTGTAAATGGAGATGATAACTGCTCATCTCTCAGGGCCATTATGAAGATTAATGTGTTTACAAAAGCATTTAAAATGCTAAGTACTTCTGGTTCCAGTCCTGTGAGATTTGAAATGCCAGCAATGAGGTGCTGAAAACCATAAGCTCTTGCTAACTCTAGTGGAAACTGTGGTTGCCCAGCACTTTACAAGAACAGCAAGAATCTTGTCATTGCAAAAGTCATGAAAGCCTCTGCTGCTTTATTCCACAGAACAAGAGCTGTGCCGTGCCAGCACCGTATCTGAACGGGCAGATAACACAAAAAGTCATCAGTTAATTTCATGCTAAGGGAATTATTGAAGGTTTTGCATGCGACAGCTTACTGGTGTCATTTATCTAAGGATTGATCCCTGCAACAACAGCAAATTTGGCATCAGTATGGAACATAGTATCAAGCCAGAATTTGCTGTAGTGACATTAGGCTTTAAACCCCATAACAATTAGCAATACCATCTCTTAATCAGCCTCAAAAAATAAAGATTTTACTAAGACCAGTGTAGTCAATTTTAGCCACTTTCCTTGCCAAACATATGCTAAATTGAGTCAAAACTCAAATCAAGATTCAGAAAACCCACCCTAACGTTCATGAAAGAAGACCACATGCTCCTTCCCCAGCCTGTAGCAGTTACTACATTTGTATGTAATAAAGTCTCTGTGCTATTATCTCTTCTAGTCCATGCAGAAATGAGAGTCAGCAGCTTGTGCAGGGTTCACACTTTCCTTCAGCAAACCTGTTCTTTATTTGCCGTGCAGTTAAGTGGATTTAACAAACCTGAGAAAGGCACAGAGGCTGAGAAATTAGTGAGCTGGAGGAACTGGTGAGCCTGAGGTCACGGTCTCTGTGCATGGTGCTGACCTGGCAGGAAGGAGGGCAAAGGGAGAGGCTGAGCCCACATGCGCGGAGCCTGAGGAGTGGAGCAGGACGGGATGGTTGAGATGACTTTTACAGTAAGGGCGAGACTGACTGTGAACCTGCAGGAAAAACATATGTTTGTGCGAGGAAGACCACGTATGCTGATGTATCCCAGTAAAAGCCAGCTGAAAATTTGCAATGTAGTTATACATGTAGTGCCCACGCTGTCAAATGTGTGTGTGTCGCAGAATCACAGAATCACAGAATGGTTGAGGTTGGAAGGGACCTCCAGAGATCATCAAGTCCAACCCCCCTGCTCCAGCAGGGACACCTAGAGCACGTGGCACAGGGCGGCATCCAGGCGGGTCTTGAAGATCTCCAGAGAAGGAGCCTCCACAGCCTCCCTGGGCAGTATGTGCATTTACTGGCTTTTTCTTTGGTTTAGAGAAGTCGCTTGAATAGAGCTGTATGCTTTGACTTAATGAGAATGTCGAACCAAACCAGAAAATGTTAAGTTGCCCTCATATATTTGACAGGCTTGGAGAGTCAAACTGTTGGTTCAGGAGATGGATCACCAATATTACCCACCATTACAACAACACCTCCTCCTGCTATGCCTACTACATATTCTGCGCCCGTGGATGACCATGAACACGTTGCTACAAGAGCTACTGAGAGCAGCTTTGAAACAGAAAGTACTGAACTGAATACTGTGAGCAATAATGACAGTCAAGAAACAGCAGAACAGTCTGTCTTCATATATGTTGTCCCCGCGGTGCTGCTGGTCTTGTTGGTTTTGCTGATCACGTTTTTTGTCATACATCACAAAAGGAAAAAGTCTAAACAAGGTAAAATCTATCTTCTCACACATCAGAAGGATATTTTTAGAACACGTGACATGAACAAAAAGTTATTCCAAGGACTGGAATACCGCATTTAGGATGTATTTCTCTGTTTTTATTTTTATGTTTCATATATAGAAAAGAATCTGTTACCCCTGGTGAGTGATTTCTACATACTTAGTTCTCCTTTAGGTATGAACTAGTTCTGCTTTTTGGCACCTCCTGCTCGCTTTGTACACCCACAGGAGACGCAGCAGCAAGTTCTGCCTCCTTCTGATAATGGAATGAAGATGTAACTCTGCATAGTTATCCTCTCTTTGTGGTTAATAATGCCATGCAAGGTGAATTTAATGCTTCTATTGCCTGTATTATCCACAGAGGAAAGCTTTTCTTACATTTCTTGGAGCTTCCATAAAATAAGAACAAGCAAAAAGCATTTTAAGGGGCATTTTTAGAGAGATCCTGTAGGGTGTTAGTAGCTATGAAATCACTTGTGAAGATCAAAGTAATTACTTAGGAATCACGTGCTCACACTGGCTGCATGCTGCAATAGGAAGAGCAATATTTCAGGAAGCAGCGTATACTCCGTTAACAAAGAAATCCCTAAGTCTCAAATGTTAAGCAGCAGAAACCAAACAAAGGTGTCGTGTTAAAAATATGTAGTTGGTAAGTGAACTACCAAAATGGTCATTCCAGTGCCTTTACCGAATGTGAATGCCATTTTCAATACGTCAGCCTGTAGCCATTCATTTTGATCTCGTTTCTCATGGCATTTTGAGCACGCGCCTGCCTTATCCCCGGGTCACAGTGTGAGCAAAGGCTCAGCTCACAGAGAGGCCTCGCGCCGCCTGCCCGTGCCCAGATGGCACGAAGTGTGCGCAGAGATGCGGTGCCGCGCGGTGCCGCGCGTCTCTCGCCCTGCGCTTCCCGCTCGGGGCCGGCATTTTGGGCATCCTCACAGCTCCCAGCCGTGGGTTGGCTCGGCAGCAAGGGAACAGGCTGGAAGGAGCGGGGGACTCCAGCACCCAACCAGCTGCGCTCAATCCAAAATAAGCTGATCGAAGGCAGCGTGCAATGTGGGTGCTCTATGGTGTTCTTCGCTCATTTTGAGAGCTGAAGCTTTTTGATCACTTCAAGAATCCTTGGAGGGGAAGTCAGTACCCTGAATAATGGCTGCTACTCTGCTTGTTTACCAGCTTTACTTCATCCGAGGGCCATAACTAGCTTTATATTACTTTTTGCAACTGGCCAGCTCAGCATCATTTACCTAACTGAGATTTAAGCTGCCGTACAAACCTCCCCACTTCTCTCCATGAGCGGCTCCCACGGTCTCCATGCAGAGACGCAGTGACTGCACGCAGTCTGCAGCAAAACGTCCTGGTGTTTTCAGGAAACAATTTCTGCAGCAGCGCTTCCTTCTCAGAGTGGCACTTTTCTCATTACTTTTGTTTTGCCCAGGGAATGGGGTGTCTGTAGTTTCATGCCCACCGTGGTGCTAACAGCCTGCTCGTTCCCAGCAAGGCTAAGCTAGTAACAAGCTCCTGCAGTGTGTTAAAGATTAAGAGCAATGGGCTTATCTGAAAATTATAGGCAGGTTGAGATGTTTCGCCTTTCATCTAAAAGTTAAGTTATAGGCTTTTTGAAAATGGAATGTGTTTTAAGTGACCCTCTGTAAGATTTGCCTGTTATACAGACCCTATATGTACACAAACTGTAACTATGAACACCAAACTTTTTCTTTTCCAGATGAGCTGGGAAGTGAAAATGTAAAAAGGTAAAGTTTATGGATAATAATATGTTTTTTTTTCTGATTCTTTTGCTCTAACAAGACATAATAATTTTAACTCCTTTATTATCTGATTTAATTTAACCATACCCTAAACACTCCTACCATATGCAGTTATCAACTATCTCTAGAGGCTGTTAAAGCTACCATAGGGCAGATCCAAAAAAGTTGTCTGAAGTGTCATCTCCTTACTTAGCAGGCAGAGGAGACATAAGACCAGAACCAGAATACAGGAGTTAACATTAGCCGGGGCGAGAGCAGTCGTACAAGGACTCATGACCTGTAAGAGCCGCCCTGCCTGACGCAGGCAACCCTGGTGCTGCCCCTGTCAAGGCACCACAAGACAGAGATACACCGTGAGCAAGGGAGATCAGTTCTCCCTCCCATCATATGTTTTTACTGTCCAGAATAAGCTCTGTCTTACTCCCTGGCTTTTCAAGTTTGTCTTCTCAATCTTACATGAGACAGAAAAGATCTCCCAGCTGCCATGGAAGTGATTCTTGAGCTTCCAGAAAAACAAGTTGCAAGCTGCATGGTTGTTATCTAAGTGATAATTTTTATCATTGCCTTTTATTGAGTTCCATCTTGCTAGTGAGTAATGGAGGTTATTATAATGGGATCGTGGGAAAAAAAAAGGACATGTTTCTGCTAAAAGTGCTGTTATTTTCTGTGCAGGTCTAGGAATAATCAGTAAAGGGAAGAGTAAACAAAGACATTAAAATAAATACTATAGTTAAATTACTATATATTAAGTTGCTAGAGTTATGACCTTCCCTTTTTTAAGTTGCTGCCAATGTCAGTCATAGTTCAGATGAAACCTTAGGCCCCGTGCTTTTGTCCTCGGAGCAATAGGACTTTAGCTGTGTGTTCCAGTAGGGCTGAGATCAACTATTTTAAAAAATCTCAGTTTTCCATTTGCCGTTGGGACAATACTTGAATAGTCACACTGGTCTTCTGCTCACAGATATCCCTAAGCTGTGCTGTGATGTTGCACCAAGTCCATGTCATGCTGACTGACAGCACACAGCCGACCTGTTGGCAGCTCTTTCATTCTTATCCCTTGGGCTGACATGTTTTCAGCTTACTAGATCAGGACACCTTTCTAGAAACACATTCCTGGAAGTCTGGTATCTTGGAAGAGCAAGTCTCAGGCAAAATTACTACATTATAGGACTACTGAATTAAGTGTTTTGTGTAATGCCTTTTTTTTTTTTATCTCTCCTCTTCTCAAGTCCTATTTTTGAAGAAGACACACCCTCTGTTATGGAGATAGAAATGGAAGAGCTTGATAAATGGATGAACAGCATGAACAAAAATGGTACATGGTAACCCCTCTACTCCATCATCCCTCTCTTTCTAGCTGAGGTAGATACCATGAATAGAAAATCAATGTAAGGCATTTTGTATTTGTGTCACTGATTTTCCTAAAACATTTTTAGTTGTGTTCTTGACTCTCTGCTACTAAAATAGCCACACAAATGTCAGGGGTAGAATTTTTCAGAGCAGTATTTTTGTTTGTGTGGGAGCTTATTTTTAACATAGGATGGAATATCATAAATGTTTTGAGTTTCCAGTGGAAGCTTTTATTAAACACAAGTATAACTGTGAATATTATTTAAAGTTTTAAATATATTTTTAATGCTAAGTAGCAGTTTATTTGAAGCATCCAGTCCTGTCAGCCTCCAGAGTTTTTATGGTTGTGTTCCATGTTACGCTACTGTAGAAGAAACTGCTCTTTACTCTTAGGTCAGAAAGCTGTTTACTCAAAACTGCTGCCAGGATCCTCCTCCAGGCTTGTCACTTGCCTACACCCCTCCCCGTTTTGCTTCCGTCCCCTCCTTTGCCACCTCTCTGCTATCAAACAGAAGCTGCTGCTCCTCCTCGCTGCTAGCGTCTTTCCCCATCTATAGCCTCTCTGCCAGGTCCATTAGCCCATGGAGCAATTGGTACCCACTGTAACTTCCACCTCCAGCATCATTCAACTTCTTGCCTGTGAAGCATCTTATATTTTTGTTGATTTTTCTCCCACCTGAAATGTCCCAGTTAAAAATCTTTACAGGCCTTATATCCTCCTTCATGGTTCTCCTCAAAAGAGTCAGGTCTATTTAAATGAGAGCGGATGATGAAATGATACATAGAAAGTTCTACTAACGGCTCTTTATTTGCTAAGAAATGCTGAAATCCTGGTATTCTTTTCATTCCTTCTCTCTCGTCTTACATCCACATGGCTCATTTGCCTGACCTCCTAAAGACATTTTGTTTTTCAGGATATAAAACTCTTTGGAGCGTTTCTTTACATTAGCACGGTGCTCCACATGATGGGGTTTTGACCTTCTCAGCCTGTAAGCACTAGCAGAAAACATGTGCTAAACAACAGTAATGAAATAAAGGCATTAAGTACAGTGCATGGGGAAATAGTGCTGCAAAATGATGTTAAAAATTCTGTAGAGAAAAGGGAGTGAACATTTTACATATTTTTCTTCAGTACTGTTCCCTAAAACTGCAGTCCCAAATTCCAGGCTGGACTAGTGCTATGAAAGTGTAGGTGCAACCATAAACAGAGGAAGGTTACCAAATAGTCCTCCTCACTGCAGCTTATAGTAAACAGACCTCAAAGTAGTTCATTTGTATGTGTGTACACAAGCAACTGAAAAATAAATAACAATAATAAAAAAATAATACCACAACGTTTATCAAAGGACTGGAGGCTTTAAAACACAAAACATTACGCTACATAGAATAAGCAGATATTACAGATAAAAGACTGTAGAAAAACATGCTGCGGTTTTCAATTCTACAATAGCTGCACCAAAAAGTTGATGCAATTTTGAAACAAATGGAGAAGAGTTGCTGAGAGTAACTATTTCCTTGGTTTTTTTTTATTCTTTTTTAGCTGAATGTGAATGTCTGCCTACTGTAAGAGAAGAAGAAAAAGAATCAATTGCCAACCCAAGGTACTTTTAATTTACTTTATTATTTGAAAAAGAGTGATCTGTGTAATTTCAAATTTTATGTATATAATTATAAAACAGACTTAAAAAAACTATTTAAATTTTAAAGGTTTTATATTCAAGGACTTTGATTTCAGCTCAAACAAATGATTTGACGCTCTTTTATTTTTACACCAGTCGCTGCCTGTAAATTGCACCCGTAAATAATCTTGCAGTTGTAAACCTGTGTGAGACAAGACAACCAGATGGTACAGAGGGAGTTTTACCAGCTGATCAGATTTTAATCACAGTTTCCTGAGGTGTTAATGCAAGCACTCAGAATGGCTTCCTTGGCACTTGTCACTAACAAGGAACAAGGCGAAGGGAAGCACCCAGATCCTCCATGCCACAAGGCGCCTGTATGTCCCTGGGAACCACAGCGGAATGTTTCAGCTGGGGTTTGGCCTGCAGGACAGGGTTTGACTGGCCCCAGGAGAAGGCCAAAGGATTTCCCTGGTGCCCCCAGGGCAGGGCTTCCCTGGAGTCCTGGCACTAACCCATGGTCCCACACGGAGATCCCAGGGAGGGCCTGCTAGGTGGATGCAAAAGCACAATCCAAGAGCTTGCAAGCTTTAAAACTTTCCAGATGGTTTCTTCAGGATTTTGGCCAGAACCCCAGAATCCTGCTCAAATTCCAAATTTGGCTAATTAAAACCGAGTCTAGGGTTTCAGCTGGCAGCAAGGGGCTGCCTTCACTTCTGCCCATGCAGTCATGGTGCAGCTGCGTTTCATGGATAGATGAAACAGCTCTTCTCCCTGCTGCATGACGCTAACAAGCAATGAAACCATGCTGCTTGCCAAGCAAACCCTTCGTGCCATAGGTGCAGGGCGTGCGAGCAGCCAAGAAGGTGAGTGGGGCACCTGAGGGAGACATGCAGAATGAGGCACCAGGCCTGGCCTGGCAGGGCTGCAGGGGGCAGCAACAAGGGCTGCCAGCGGCAGCCAGACGTGAAGCCGGCTCAGCTCTGCCATCAAAAGGCCCCTCTGATAGAGCGGCGCTTGTCACGGCAAATCTCCAAAATACCCCGTCCCTTTTTTTGCACTTTCCTTGCTCAGGAATGAAATAGCAGTGACATTAAATCATCCTTGCAGGAGAGTTTACAACTCAGTTTCTGTAAAGCTGTTGTTTCAGGACAGCTTCAGCACATGGCAGCTGCATTGCTGCTATCTGTATTTAGTTGTGTTTAGAAGGCTTCCCTTTAGGACTCCTCCCTTTTTAAACAAAAGCTTAGGCTCCGGTGGTCCAGAAGCAGACAGGCTCAATCATTTTACAAAGATACACTGTGAAAGCCACTCTGAATTTCCCTTCCAGACTCTAAATGATAACTCATAAGGGGAGATTTGGTAAGGATAGTTAATTGCAAAATATTTCTCTAAAATATATTTGCTAACTGCACTACTTGCTGCAATGAGGAGTCCAAGACAAAGATTTTTTGAGCCATATATTAACACCAGCAGGTATAAGGCATAGTTCAAAGGACTTCTGAGGTACAATAGCCTCCTCAGCATTATGTTTGCTCTCCAGAAAACAATTTTTATCAGAATAATCACATGCCCTATGACCCGAGTTGTCCTTTTAAATACTGTCTTTGTTAGAGTGCTCCTGAGTTTGGATTACCTCAGAGTAAGTCAAGAGGCTTTGCTTATGTTCCTCACTGCCAAAAGATATCTTTGGACTACCTGCTACTTCAGGCTCCCATCTGCAAAACAGGGATATTGTCACTTCAAAGCACAACAGTGATGCTTAAGCCCTGATTCAGAAAGAGAGCCATTCAGATATGTGTGCCCCAGTCTGAGTGAAGACACACACACTGCTACAGCATACAGGTGATGCTTTACATACATATAAATGTACATATAAGCAATGCCTTAGAATCAAATTTTAAAAATATTTATATCTGTAAGTTGTAAGAAGGCAAAAAATTACAAATAAAGAGGTAGGATTCATCTTTAAGACACTCAGAACTGCTCAGGAAAAAAAGGATATTATTTAAATACGAAATGCAAGATTATTAGGTTCAATTTCAGATTCTTGAAGATCACTTTGGGAAAATTTATTCTCAAATTATGTTAATTTGTTTTTAGGTATTATTGATGATATCTCAATGTGAGAAACATTTACCTTATTTAGCATTTTTGAGCATTTTCTTTTATATAAAATGCTGGGGAGGGTTAATCAAGACTCAAATATTTTGAACAATAAACTGATTTTGATAAAAGTTTGTTTTAAAAACATCTCAAACAAAGCATTTCAATACTGACATTTTGACATTTTCGGAATGAATTTTGTTCCGAAACTGCTTTTCAGAGCAAGTGACTCTTTAGTATGTTTTAAAAA